TAAAACTTACCATCTTAACCATTTTTAAGTGTACAGCTCAGTGGCATTAAGTACATTCACAGTATTGTGAAACCACCACCACCGTCCACAGAACTCTTTCCATCTTGCAGAACCGACACTCTGTCCCCATTAAACAGTAACTTCCCATTTTCCCCTCCCCGCCAGCCCCTAGTACCCACCATTCTACTTTGGGTCTCTGAAGCAGACTACTCTATGTACCTCATATAAGTGGAATCATAGAGTATTTGTCCTTTTGTGTTTGGTTTATTTCACTCAGCATAATGTCCTCAAGATTCACCCATGTTGTAGTATGTGTAGGAATTTCCTTCATTTTTAAGGCTGAATAATATTCCATGGCCTGTATAAACCACTTTTTGTTTATCCATTCATCCTTCAGTAGACACAGGGGTTGCTTCTAGCTCTCAGCTATTTTGAATAACGCTGCTACGAACAAGGGTGCACAAATATCTCTTCAAGATCCTGCTTTCAATTCTTCTAGGTATATGCCCAGAGGAGAACTGCTGCATCATATGGTAATTCTATTTTTTACTTTTTGAGGAACCGCCATACTTTTTTCATAGCAGCTGTACCATTATAAGTTCTCACCAACCGTGCACAAGGATTCCAGTTTCTCTACATCCTCACCAATATTTGTTATTTTTCTGGTTTTTAGTAATACCCATTCTAATGGGTGAGAGTGATATCTCATTGTGGTTTTGATTTGCATTTTCCTGTGTCAAAGTGAGATTTTGCCCTAGAAACAGGTCTAACACATCCAAGGAATGATTATAATTTTAAAAAACCAGGCTTCCCTGGTGGCGCAGTGGTTAAGAATCCACCTGCCGATGCAGGGGACGTGGGTTCGAGCCCTGGTCCGGGAAGATCCCACATGCCACAGAGTAACTAAAGCCCGTGTGCCACAACTACTGAACCTGCGCTCTAGAGGCCACGAGCCACAAATACTGAAGCCCGCGAACCTAGAGCCCGTGCTCTACAATAAGAGAAGCCACCACAATGAGAAGCTCACGCACCACAACAAAGAGTAGCCTCTACTCGTGGCAAGTAGAGAAAGTCCAGCACAGCAATGAACACCCAATGCAGCCAAAAATAAAGAAATAAATTTATAAAAAGAAAAGAGAGAAGCCACCGCAATGAGAAGCCTGCACACCGCAACGAAGAGTAGCCCCCGCTCGCCGCAACTAGAGAAAGCCCGCGCACAGCAACGAAGACCCAACACAGCCAAAAATAAATAAATTTTAAAATAATAATAATAATTTTAAAAAACCGAGAAAGGGTAAAAAGTGCTAGTGTCCTCAAAATGCTGTGGTGGCAGCATTTTCCTGACATCCCTGTGATAAGATCCCCATGAAGCCCAGCTCCATGTACACCCAGTAAAACATGCAGTTCAGAACACACACAAACACTGCGGGCATCCACATCTCTCGCCTCAAGCAAGTATTAATGGTCCCTTGGAAAAATCTCGACCTTGAAGTTGGAAGGAGACAGCTTAAAAAGAAAAAACACAAAAAAACGGTTAGAGTGCTACAGGTGTTTGCTATAAAGAACGTTACTGTGAAAATAATTCTGGATGGGGCAAACTGTTAAATAAAACCTCTGCTTGTTCCCGCACCTAGAATTGGTCAAAGAATTCAACAGGTTGCTTCTGCATATTCAAACCTGCCTACGGAGCCCAAGTCCACCATCAAGGCTGTCATCCTTCTGCTCCGCTTACTCACTGTTAATTCATCGAAACCAAACAAAAACTCTCTGCAAAATGATCCATCTGTGCTTTGCTTCAAAATAATCCAAGGTGGGGGAAGATATAAATTAAACATGATAGGCTGAGTTGGTAACTTTTGAAGCTAGCTGATGGGAACACGGCAGCCGGGGTGGGGGGGTTCATTATATTCCTCTATTTTTGTATTTTCTCCATTTAAAGAAGAAAACTTCTCTGAGGAGGTAAGGGCTTGGTACATCATCTTATTCATCTTCAACAACCTTGTGAGGCAGGCAGCAGGCAGGTGACAGCAGTATTTCACAAAGAAATCAGCTCAGGTTGAGAGTCCAGACTGGCACCCAGGAGCCCCCGCTGCACCATGCACTTCCCTAAGGGCTCTGCGCCCCAATTCCCAAGCCTCATTCCACATTCCCAGCTCCTGTGCAGATGAAGACAGCAAATCTCCGCCTAGAACCCAGCAGGGAGGGGCCGGGCAGCCTCCCCCTCTCATTTTCCCAACAGAGCTCTCATGCCTCGTTTTCCTGACTGTTCCTGTTTGTCCTGTCCTGTTCTGCCCCAGTGCACACTAACTGAAAAATGATTAACTCTCGACCACAGACACTGCCAATTCTGCAAAACTCCGATAACGCTGTAGCCCCCTTCAATCACCAAGCAGACTTGCTACAATTCTGGATTCATGAACTCTGCTGTGTGAATTTGGTGCTGCAAATGTATTATACTGGGCAAGTTAGTAAAGCTTCCCAAGCGCAAAGAATCTATCCTTAAGAGGCTCTGAAGAAACAGAGATTACCAGGGCCCTGGGCCACAGCAGCAGCAGGAGAGTTTCACTCCAGATGCAAAAATCAGGATGAGAGTCAGAGGTCGGGATGTAAGGCCAAGCAAGCACAGCGGGCCACCGGGCCAGGGGTACAACAGGCGGGTGGACAAAGTGTCTAAAGTGTCAAACCACCTGCCTAAGCCAGGTGGCCCTCAACTGTGCACCTGGCTGGGGGCTGGGGACTCCAGGTGAGGCCAGAGGCTCTCCTCCAGACAGGGAGCAATGCAGGTCTGAGAAGCCACACATCTTAGGGAGGGGGCAACCACAGTCCTCCCATTAGGAGGGGCCCACAGGAACCACCTCAAATGTCCAGCACTGCCCTACCTCAGGGGCAACAATGAGGCTGCTGGTGAAAGGTTGTCTGGGCACCAGAAAAGTCCTGCGGTGAATGGCCAAGCCACTGAATCCCGCCCTACTTCTCCAGGAAAGAAAACCCCCCAAACTTTGAGATAAATCATCAGGGGGTGATGCTGGAAAAACAAGGGTGAAAGGCTGAGAGATCCTGATAAGTCGGCCTCGATGTCCAAAGTTCCAGTCCAAATAGGAAATGCCAAAATCCTCAGTAGAGGCAAATGTGGCATCATGACCACTTATCCTGTCCCTCCTTCTCCATCAGGCCCCACCCAGACACTAGCTGCAGACTCGACGCCCGTATTAAATGAGGTTTTAAAACCCTCTGTGCACGGTCATGTCACCGTGCTCTCCTGCACAGAAGCAATGTCTGCCTCCCCCTGGACCAATGCCACTGATATGCTTTGATATCTCCCTTAACCCCTTGACCAGTTCCAGCCAGTACCCAATTGCTCCTCTTTAAGGCAAGAGTCCTTGAAAGAACTGTCATGCGTCACTGGTCTCCACTTTCTCATGTCCCATGGGCTCCTGGACCAACTCCAGGTGGGCTTCCATCCCCAGCAGTTCTGGTCAAGGTCATACCCTCCACCTTGTCAAAGCCAATGTCAATTTTCTGTCCCCATCCTACTCCTCTCTACATGAAGGGCTTCCTCTCAAGGCTTCCACGACACAAAATCTCCTGGTCTTCCTTTTACCTCAGGCCACTCACTCACTCACAGCCAACTTTGGAGAGGACTTTCCTCCTGAACCCCACCTCTAGCATCCCCACCTCAATATTCAGACCCCTCCTCTCCTCAGTCAATACACTCTCCTTCGATGATCTGGTCACCCCTTCCTCTGATGGTGGCCAAGACTTCCATCTCCAGGATGGCCACTGGTACGGGACACTGACATGTCCATGTGGCTGGCTAAGAGACCATTCAAACCCTTCTGCCCCAAATGTCCATCTCAGAACATGGGACCACCATCCATGCCTTCACTCTGCAGAATCACTCCAAAATCAGATGATACCATCCAACTTATAACCTACCAAGAGTTACTGACAGAAGTAGAACTCCAGCTACTTACTGGGAACCATACAGTCCTGCATGACCTGGCTTCTTCATGCCCGTGTCCTCACCTGTGTCCCCTGTGCCCTGTACTCACTCAGCTCCAGCCACATGCCCTTCTTTTTGCTTCTTGCACATGCCAAGTTCATTCCTGCCTCAGGACCTCTGCACATGCTGCTCTCCCTACCTGGAGCTTTCTTCCCAAGACCCCATATAGCTGTGTCTTCACTAGTACTCAGGTCTCAGCCTACAAGCCACCTCTCCTTAGAATGTGCTTCCCAACCACCCTGGCCAAGCGGCTTCACCCTCCCTGCTCTGAGGCTCAGTAGGCTAATATCCCTTCTGATTGAACACCAGCACCACAAGGACAGGGTTTTACTCCCCTTGTCCACCCTTACCTCCCAGAGCCCGGGACAAGGCCTGGCCCACAGTCCAATGTGCACAAAGGACCCGGCAGCTGATGTCTCATTGGGGCATTCCT